TTTGGATTTGAGACTTTAGTCTTTGCAACTTTACAGATCTTCTTTATGCACCAAGAGCTTGTAACACTCCAAAGAGAAATGAAAAATTGAAATCACATCATATGACCCCTTTAAGTCATGTCACTCGGCGGCCATCTTTGAAACGCCTCTCGGGCATGCAAGTGCAACTCCTATCTCTTTGAATGGGGAAACATCAAGTTCTACAAAACTGTTCACTAAGCTTGCGATTAAATTTCATATTTGAAATCACCAAAGAAATCTGATATCAACGGTGTCATAAATGTTGTTTATTTTGCTCAAATAGCGTTATAAAAAGCTTATTATTCAGGCTAGATCAGCCAGTGCGCATGCGCAGTCCTGAGCGCATGTCTCAGAATGCTGACTGTTTCTATAGCAACCGGGACTTCTAACGGCAGTTGCAGTGACGCGCTGACTTTACCGATTAGCGATTGGCTCCTTCATTCAGAAGGCGGGGCTTCCTGCGATTGAGCGGCTATATTGAGAGTTGCATTTTCCCCATTCAAAACTATACGAGTGACGCGTCTTGAGTATTCTATAGTCTTTGGTATTACACACTGGAAATACACAAGTAACATCTAATATTTTGTTTAATATCTAAAAAATAAAATAATTTCAATATATGTCTTTTACTGGCAATTTGCTGGAGATAAAATGACATTTCTCTCTCACTAGTCATGACTGATGAACAGAAGGCCAGTTTTTGCACCAAGAGACCAATGACAAAGGAAGATTATGAGGCCAGGCAAAGCGTCATCCGTCGGGTCCTGGACCCTGAGACTGGACGAACCAGGTGTGTTAAATCTCTACTTAGTCTAAAGCCTTGTTCAGACTGTCAGTCCAAATCTGGTTATTGTGCATATCTGATTGGAATCTGATCATATTTAGCATGTGTGAACAGCAAAAAATCACATGAAATCCAATTTTTACAAATCTGTTTCAAGCTACATTCCTATCAGAAGTCAGAAAGAGCTTTATTACCAAGTATGTTTACACACACAAGGAATCTGACCTGACGACAGGAGCTTTCAATGCAGAAGAAAGTACGGACATAGTGCAACATACATGATAGTGCAGACATACATAGGAATAACACAGTAGGGATGGAATATAACACTAATATAAAAAAACATAATGCACTATATACAGACGTAGAAGTGTAGATAAAAATTGTAATTGGTTAAATTAATGTAGAGATATGTTATTTACAAGTGTGCAGTTTACAAATGTACAAATTTTGAATT